GCTGTCAGACACTTCTCTTTCTTAGCTGCCAGTCTGACCCTCTACAGAGTCTGCCATCCAGGCTACTGGCCAGAACTGAACAACACAGCTACCATATCAGTCAGATTTGATGATGGCTTGGGTACAAGTTACTTATAGAAATGGGCAAATCTATTTGGGTTTGATTAGTGGGGACATTTGCAAACCCCATTGAAGTCAATGAGAAGTAAATCTTGACAATCAATTCTTACCAGGCTAATAAGCCTTGTAAGATTGTCAAACAAAGGTCATGCAGAGAAAAATTGTTCAGTGGGAGGACACTCTTCTAACCACTTCAGAAGGTTTTACCCCCTTTTTGACCAGGGCATTTTTTGCTATTCAGCACTGTGCTATTTCAACTGGTAATTGCGTGATCATGCATCACTGTGCCAAAACAAAATGTATATCCTTTTTTCACTAAAATTAGGCTTTATTCTGGTGGTCTTTGATCACCACTATGGTTTTTATTTTTAGTGATATAAATGGAAACAAAACAAAAAAAAATTATATTTTTGATTTTCTGTTATAAAAATATCCAATAAACTCAAATTTCTCCATAAATTTAAGCCAAAAATGTACCCAATAAGTGTATAAAAATTGGTTTGCTATAGGGTCTACAAACTGTGGTATATACAGTATTTACTGTAATTTACACAGCTTTTACAGTACTTTCTGACAGCCTATCAAATTTCTTGATGTGCTGAAATGCAAAGGCAGGACAAACACCCCCAAATTACTCCTTTGGGAAAGTAGAAAACCCCAAGGAATTTGCTGCTGAGAGCCATGTTGAGCCCATGGAAGATTTTATTTTTGTCACAGGTCTTTAAAAAATGTTTCCCTTTTTTTTTCTTTTTTTTTTAAACAAAGTTGTCACTTAGATTAAATATTGCTTAACCTCCCTAACGGTATTCCCGAGTGTAGCTCGGGGTAAAATTTCTATACCAAAAGCGGTAACCCCGAGCTACACTCGGGCTTACCATGCAGCGCTGCATAGGGAGTCCCTGCAGCACTTACCTTGTCCTTGGCTCCCGCGATGTGTCCCGTGCAGCGTCCCCGGCCATCTCCTCCGGCCAATGCCGGCATCCGTCTTCTGTGTTCCGGTCCCTGTGACATTGGGACGTACGGGCGCCGCCTGCGGCGGCGGGAAATTTGAAAATTAAAAAAAAATGTCATTTTTTTCAAAACGATTTTACATAGTAAAACATTGCTGTTTCAACCCATTTCACATACATTTTGTCCCGAGTGCTTTGTCCTGCGCCCTGCCTGCATTTTGATTGTTCTTTCTGCCTGAAAACGTAGAAAAGTCCATGGCGTCCAAAAAGTGTCCCTTTAGGTCAAAAGCGGGTTTAGACCAGCTAGAGAACAGCGATAGTAAATCAGAACCACTTGCAGAATTGAGTGATAATGATTCGTGGAGAAATTCGTCATCAGACACTGAAAACGATTTTGCGACTTTGCTCAGCGATGTGCGAACTTGGCGCTATATTTCAAATTTCAGTGTTTTTGGTTTGATTATATTATTGAATTAAATGTATTATTATTATATTATTATTTTTTATGATTATTTATTAAATTATAATTTATGATTTCGTGTTTCAAGTTTTATCCTACCCGGGATGTTTAATAGACTCTTGTTCGGACAGATTTCAGTGAGTTATTCCTAAAAATTACAGCCTACAATAAAAAAACTACATATTTCCATGCAAAATAATGGTACCGCTTTCAGCACCAAAAATATGAAATAATCATACCGCCAGGGAGGTTAAACATGTCATGAGTATATGTGGAATTATATCCCAAAATACATTCTGCTGCTTCTCCTGAGAGAGTACCACTGACCTGGTATTTTATGCCCAACATTAGACGCTTCCACCACACATCACCCACTCTTCTAACCACTTGAAGACCAAACCTTTTATGACACTTTTTATATACATAAAACAAATTTATTTTTTGCTAGAAAATTACTTTGAACCCCCAAACAGTATATATATATTTTTAAAATATACAATTTTGAGTGTTGTAATTTTTTATGTTACAGTATTTGCACAACGATTTTTTAAATGCTATTTTTTTCTGAAAACATACTTTTTTTTAGTTTAATACACAAAAACACAATATATTGCCTAATTGTTTGCTAACATATAAAAGATGATGTTACACCAAGTAAATAAAAACTAAACATAACATGCTTTAAAATTGCGCACGCCCGTGCAATGGTGACAAACCACGTACATTTTTAACATCCATAGGCGACACACTTTAAAAGCCTTAACTGTAGAGGTTACCACTTTAGATGTACACATGAGGTCTAGTGCTAGAATTACTGCTCTCGATCTGAAGTTCATGGTGACACCTTACATGGGGCAATTGCCGGCGTGTGAGTTCACCTTTACGTGCTAGCACAGGGAGATGGGGGTGCTTTTACAGGAAAGTCAACTGTTGGCTGAAAAAAACAATACCCAGATGATCCCTGCAGCTGCAGGCATCATCCTGGTATAACTGGTACCAGTATGTTGCTGGTCCTTGTTGGGCACATATGTAATGTTCTTTATTTCATGCAGCTTATGGGACGAACGAAAAAATAGAACTTAACAGATTTCTCCATTCACATCGATCAATGTGGATGAAGAAATCTCTGCCAAAAAAAGTGAAAGAAATACCATATTTTCCGGCGTATAAGACGACTGGGCATATAAGACGACCCCCTACTTTTCCTGTTAAAATGTAGGGTTTGGGCTATACTCGCAGTATAAGACTACCCCTCTTCCAATGCACACCAGTGGGAAGAATCGTGCCCCATCATTGGTGTCAGTGGGAGGAATAGTGTCCCATCATTGGTATTAGTGGGAGGAATAGTGCCCCATCATTGGTATTAGTGAGAGGAATAGTGCCCCATCATTGGTATTAGTGGGAGGAATAGTGCCCCATCATTGGTGTCAGAGCGACAAATTGTGCCCCATCATTGGTGTCAGTGGGAGGAATAGCACCCCATCATTGGTGTCAGTGGGAGGAATAGTGCCCCATCATTGGTATCAGTGGCAGGAATAGTGCCCCATCATTAGTATCAGTGGGGGGAATAGTGCCCCATCATTGGTGTCAGTGGGAGGAATCGTGCCCCATCATTGGTGTCAGTGGCAGGAATAGTGCCCCATCATTAGTATCAGTGGGGGGAATAGTGCCCCATCTTTGGTGTCAGTGGGAGGAATCGTGCCCCATCATTGGTGTCAGTGGGAGGAATAGTATCCCAACATTGGTGTCAGTGGGAGGAATAGTATCCCATCATTGGTGTCAGTGGGGGGTGGAGGAATAGTGCCCCATCATTAGTGTCAGTGGGGGGGGGAATAGTGCCCCATCAGTGGGGGGGAGGAAAAGTGCCCCATCGTTGGTGTCAGTGGGAGGAATAATGCCCCAATGATGGGGCACTATTCCTCCCACTGACACCAATGACACTTGCTGACCCCTGTTCCAGTATGGTGCTGCTGCAGCCAGCATATGTGGTTGCAGCAGCACCTCTGTACGGCACACTTAACGGCCGCTCCTTCACTCGATTTTCGCGGGGCCGCTCGGCTCCGCCTCCTCGCCGGTGATTGGCCACCTGTGTGAGGAGGCGGAGCCGAGCAGCCAAGCGAACATCCAGTAGCCGAACCGAATGAAGGAGCAGCTGCGCTTCCTGCACCGGATCGTCATGGGACCAGAGCCAGGTAAGAAATAGCAGCCCCTGCCCACTCCTGTACTTAGTGTCCCTTGGAAGGGGGGGGCGGCGGCAGCACCGCGCCTCCCCCCTAAAAAGTGTCAGCATGCCGTATACCGGCGTATAAGACGACCCCCGACTTTTGAGAAGATTTTCAAGGGGTAAAAAGTCTTCTTATACGCCGGAAAATACGGTACATGCCGAAGCATAGGAGCGATCCACCCACTGACCACCCCAGGCCCCCATGCTTGGGCATATATGTTCTTTTTTTCTAACTGCAGATGAGAAATCTCCTCCAGCAGCAGCTGCCATATATATTCTAAAAGCACACCCTGTTGCTGTCAGAATAAACAGATTTTGGCTGCAGCTGAATGGAGTTCCAGCAAAGGGCTCTATAGGCCTGTGTTCAAATTCTTAGTGGCTGCAGGACGTTACTAGTGCTAGCCACCGCACCAGCTTGGACTGCACTTTTTTGTTTTTTTTTAACCATTATTTTTTATTTATTACTATTTAAAAAAAAATATTAAAGTTCTATTTGTAAACTAAGCCACTTTCAAAGCTAATAGGCTTGGGTTTGTGAAACAAAGGGCACGGGGAACTGGATACCCCCAGGGGGAACATGTACCAATGTAAGACATATATTTTTTTTAAATATTATTCAGTGAGGAGCAAATCTTTAAAAAAGGTTTAAAGAGTGACATTACACAATGCTTGGTGGATTACTTAAACCTTCCTGTGGAGTGGAAGATCTGTACAATGTATTAAACAAAAGTGACATTTAAAAAGGGTAAAAACATTTAGATTGCCAGTAAATGACATTTTTTAGTTGCTTCATTCTGTTTGTAAACAAAGCAGCCAGGGTTCCCCTCAACATTCAATCAAAACTAGATCCCTATTCAAATGAAGGCCTAGTATTTTAAGGGGGACCCTATTAACAAAATGAGGAGGGTTCCCCCTAAAATTCATAATAGACAACCTTAAAAAAAAAGAATGCTCTCTCCCACCCCTCCCCAATGTATTTTGGACGCAGGCATGCACCCTGGCTGGCTAGGAATGGGCTTCCTCCCTTTTGGACAATACTATACAACATGCCCTTAACATAAGGAGAATGCCTTACTATGGGGCCCCCTCCTGGTAAAGCACCTCCTCCTTATGCTGATGGAGACAAGGGCCTCTTTTCCACATTCCTGGTCCTATGGATGTAGTGAGGGACTTATCAGAATCTGGAAAAGGGTGCTGCAAGATATCCGGCCCTCTCTGCTTTGTGACTGAGTCAGAGGGTACATAGTCCAACAGCAGGGGCGGACTGACCATTTTGAAACTCGGGCACTGCCCGAGGGCCCGGGGTCAGTAGGGGGCCCCATGAGATGCCCCTGGTACCTTTTTCATAGGCTTTTTTGAGTTTGGGCAAGGACACAGGGGCCCCATGATCCCCTATTACCCGGGGGCCCCATGAGTTGTCAGTCCGCCCCTGTCCAACAGTGTAAATCTATTACCAATGACATCCTCCAGAGATGTAGAGTTGCAATGAACAAGGCCAACCAACCTGCTGAAACTAAACACCCAACACAATAAGTTCTGAATAGACTTTCACCACAAATAACATTTCCCTGTCTGACAGATAAATTGAGATCCCATGTGCATCATTATTAAAAAATGGTCCTTGGCTGCTAAGATGCATCTTTGCAACCGAGGGGCAGTGAGGGGGATGGGGGGCAGATGCACAGCCCTAAGTAAGAAGCTGTCACATTTAGTGGCACTAATAATACTGCCACTTAAAGTTCGACTTCCTGCAGCAACCAGAGGTTTTCTTCAGCAGACAAGAAAGCTATTTAGTTCACCTATTCAGGGAACAGCAGGAGTATGCGACGAACCCTGTAAAACAGTAAACCCTAGTTACTTGTATTATGCAGAGAACCAGTTGCATGGGAAAGCTCAGAATTGCTTTAAAGGAAACCCGTGCTAGGAAGAGTCTGCCATTCCTAACCTCTCCTTCTGAAAATTTTAGCTCCCTGGAAGACATAATAATCCAATGTCTTTGGTAGTTTCTGAGCCACTGACCTGAAAAAGATACGCAGATCAGGAGCTCTGAATTCAAGCCGACTTTCCCCTCCATTCATTTACACAAAATATTAAACACGCCTAAATATTTTCTCAGCCAGTTCTTTTTTTAATATATATATATTTTTATATATATATAGATATATATAGATATATCTAGATAGATAGATAGATAGATAGATAGATAGATAGATAGATGCATATCTATATAGATATAGATATATATATATAGATATATACGTATATGTATATATGTGTGTGTGAACTGGCTGAGAAAATATTTAGGCATGTTTAATGTTTTTTTGTTGTGGTTGTGGTTGTGTTAGCCAATACAAAAAGCTTACCTAAAAAAAATACTTATAAATAAAATTACAAAGAAGAACTAACAAGTGTATGCTTTGTAGATAGTGTATACACTTAAAACATAAGTAGGTATTATATTATTACCAAAACATATTTTTGTTTAGCTGAGGATTAGAGTCTTGGTCACATGACACTGAAACTTGGACATCGTGTAGAAAAAGCATTCTATTAGCCGTACATGTGATAATCCTTCAAAAGGAACAGATATCCTATATCTGGATAACAGAAACATTGATTTTGATAGACAGACAGACAGACAGACAGACAGACAGACAGACAGACAGACAGAGATAGATAGATAGATAGATAGATAGAGATAGATAGATAGATAGATAGATAGATAGATAGATAGATAGATAGATAGATAGATAGATAGATAGATAGATAGATAGATAGATAGATAGATAGATAGATAGATAGATAGATAGATAGATAGATAGATAGATAGAAAATATGCAATGTCATAGTATAATAAATACAATAATAAAAGATAACAAAAATAATTTTTGCAATAATAGCTCACACAAGGGTGAATAATTCCAGCCTAAATGTTGTTAGTGGCCCAAGAATGGATAAGAATAACAACTAGGCATTAACAGATAGATTGCCTTGCAGGCAGTCCACACAAACCTCTATCAATACAGGCTAAAGCACATTTGTATTTAAGCTATTGTACAATCTACAAGGAATTTAAAAAATAAATGAATATAAATGTGAACAGCATGGATGGGTGATTCTGAGTGGGGGTTGAAACACCCCCAAAATTAGGAAAATCCAAACTTGCACCCAAAATGTATTAATGTCAATGGGGGGGGGGGGGCAATCTTGATATTCATTTTGTTCCTTATGTTGGGCTAATGAACAAACTATAGTCAAAAAAGAGACATAAGAAACCTGCACTGCCGTAAAGGACCACAGCAAAATTAATGAGAAAAAAAAATTACAGTATAGAGTCTTTTCATGCTACTTCTAGGGCTACATGGAAGATACACTATTTCTTTAAAAGTGGTACTTCACTTTTTAGTTAACATTGATTATTTTTAATCCTTATGCTGCTAGCAATAGTGAATAGATAGGAGAGTATATCATATTTACCTTACATTTCTTCAGTTACTTTTTTCGGTTTCCAAGCCTAGGCAAATTATGTCATACATCCCAGGAGTCTTCAGGAAGGGATATTGCCAAAAGTATTGGGACGCCTGGCTTTACACGCACATGAGCTTTAATGGCATCCCAGTCTTAGTCCGTAGGGTTCAATATTGAGTTGGCCCCGCCCTTTGCAGTTATAACAGCTTCAACTCTTCTTGGAAGGCTGTCCACAAGGTTTAGGAGGGTGTCTGTGGGAAGGTTTGACCATTCTTCCAGAAACGCATTTGTGACGTCAGGCACTGATATTAGATGAAAAGACCTGGTGTGCAGTCTCCGCTCTAATTCATCCCAAAGTTGTTCTATCTGGTTGAGGTCAGGACTCTGTGCAGGCCAGTCAAGTTCCTCCACCCCAAACTTGCTCATCCATGTCTTTATGGACCTTGCTTTGTGCACTGGTGAGCAGTCATGTTGGAACAGGAAGGGGCCATCCCCAAACTCTTCCCACAAAGTTGGGAGCATGAAATTGTCCAAAATGTCTTGGTATGCTGACACCTTAAGAGTTCCCTTCACTGGAACTAAGGGGCCAAGCCCAACCCTTGAAAAACAACCCCACACTACAATCCCCTCTCCACAAAACTTTACATTTGGAAGAATGCAGTCAGGTAAGTAACGTTCTTTCAGCAACCGTGAAACTCAGATACATCTATTAGATTGCAAGATAGAGAAGCATGATTCGTCACTCCAGAGAACACATCTCCACTGTTCTAGATTCCAGTGGTGGCATGCTTTACACCACTGCATCTGACACTTTGAATTGCACTTGGTGATATAAGGCTTGGATGCAGTTACTCTCGGCCACAGAAACCCATTCCATGAACCTTTCTATGCACCGTTGTTGTGCTAATCTGAAGGCCACATGAAGTTTGGAGGTATTTATCTATTGACTCTGCAGACAGATGGTGACTTCTGCTCAATGTGCACTTCAGCATGCGCTGATTCCGCTCTGTCATTTTACGTAGCCTACCACTTGGTGGCTGAGTTGCTGTTGTTCCCAGTTGCTTCCACTTCCACGTTACAATACCACTAGCAGTTGAGCGTGGAATATTTAGTAGGAAGGAAATTTCACAGATGGACAGGTGGCAACCTATCACGGTACCACGCTTGAATTCACTGAGCTCCTGAAAGCGACCCATTCTTTCACAAATGTTTGTAGAAGCAGTCTGCATGCCTAGTTGCTTGATTTTGTAAACCTGTGGCCATGGAGGTGATTAAAACACCTGACTCCAATGCAGTAAGCCGATATATGTAGCACGATGGCGCCATTCCAAGCCAATAAGCACCTCACTGGTAGGAAGGGGGAGTGGTGTCCACAATAGTTTCCAGTCTGGCAAGCGTGATGTGGGAAAGGTCGCCACTCTCTAACCGCACATGGAATTTTGTATAAAGATGGACTCAGCCGTCGCTCCGGCCACGTACTTTGACGCGTTTAACCCCGGCTTCCAGGGGCTTGGTTACAGAGGAGTCCATTGCTTACAGACTCCTCTGCAACCAAGCCACAGTGAGCAGGGTGAATCACGTCAGAGGGTGTAGCCAAGGCGATGGCTGGGGCCATCTTTATACAAGATTCCACATGTGATTAGAGCGATGTCCTTTCCCACATCACACCTGAATCCAATGATTTGGAGGGGTGTCCTAATACTTTTGGCAATATAATGTAAGTGTGTAAGGTTTTGTCAGCCAGTCAACAAGTGCCTGAACCCAAGTTTGTGTAACCTTACCACTGCTATGTTCTACAGCATCTGCTCACCCTCTATAACTCAAAGCACAGTGCCTCTCATTTTAGACCTGGCTCTCATTGTATTACTTTTTTTGAAGGTGAATGGAATTGTTAGTTATTACTGAAACTATGGCAATAGGAGGGGGAATGTGTTGTGCTTTTGATCTACTGTAATTATCGCACAGTAATGCAGCAGCCTGCTGCGCACAATGGGCAGCTCCAACTGTTCGGCATCAAGTGTATGCTGCACCAAACTTAAAAAGACTATACAAAATTAAATATAATATCCCATTCCATATACAGTATATTATATATACATTTATATTTTATATATATATATATACACTGTGTATATATATATATATATTTATTTTTTTTATGTAATTATTTATTTATTTTTTTACCCTAGTAAAAAATAAAATAGAAAACCATGAACTGAAAGAAAAATGCTAATAAGTCACAAAAGTTAGAAAAAAAGCTGTGTTAAAACACAGGTTAGAGAACAAGCAAACTTACTGCTGATACAAACAGAGTACTAAGAAGGACAATAAGGCCTATGGAAATGTGTTAACACAGAGGGTACAAAAAGGTATGTACAGTGTAATCTACATTATAGCATGGTATAGTGCTGTAAATCACTGAATAGCACAGTATAGCACCATATAGCATTGTAAAGCATAGTATATCACACAGCAAAGTATCTCTCCCTATACATATTTGTACATCTTCCCTAACCAGCTGCAACCAAACACGCTGACAATATGGCTGATGGAAGCCCATCAATTTATGGTGAGGGCTCTGGTGTGTTCATTTTTATCAAATGATTGGCTCTAAGTCACCCACCTGATCAGGGACAAGGGTTTACGGGTTCAGGCACAAATTTTCAGCCATAAATTCTGAGTTCCAATGAACCACGAAACTGCCTCGAACCTAGGGTGGCTAAAATATAAGCTCGTCACTAGTGAACAGCTATATCTAATAGGTAGCATTTATCTAAATTATAAACACAAATGTTGAAACCATGCTAAAGAAATATGAATGAAGGTGATCATGCACAGTGCTTCATCCATCCAGAGTAAACTACTAAGACCATTTTCATCATGCTATGGAACATGAATAAGTCAATAAAGCAAAAAGTTGTCAGGTTTGAGGAACCCTAAACCATCTATAGCACAGAGAGTTA